AAATTGATACAAATGCAAAATATTTATGACTGAATGGCACAATTGCAATAGGTTTAGGACTGTTTCGGTAATTTTCCCGATTTACAAGCTTAAACATATTGGTGGAGAAACCACCCGCCTGGGTGGCGCTGCTGGAGCGCGCACTCTTCCTCTCGCAAAAGGTTGAGTGTTCGAATCCCGGGCGCCGCAGGGTGACTTAACCGGTGGCACGCGTGTGGTGGCTAGCACGTGTCGCCCCCAGGGTTTACTCCCCGGCTGTCGGCCGTGCGGGGGTTCCCTAGGTTACCAAAAAAAAAAAAAACATATTGGTGGAGAAAGATTATACATATAAACCTCGAGTGTGGAGAATGACAAGTGGGATTTGATGAATAGGAGACCGTACACGCAAAATAAATTGGAGCAGAACCCGACTCAGATACGATGTTAAAATGTCAAACTCAAATGCTTAAATTTATAAATGGAAGGAGACCCGCATCTATATAAATAACATATAAGCTCTGTATACAAGTGATACGTGATACCTTAACGACATTTTTTGGACTTTACTTATTACAAGTGGAAGAAAAATCAACAAAATTGTCTATATCATTCTCTGTTTCTTGAGTGCATTTTACATTCATTTCGAGTGTATACCTCATTGTGACTCGTCCTGATATAACCAGTTCATGACCGCATCATTGAACCACTCATTATATTGTTGTTCTTAGCTATGTCAACGGCATCTTATTTCATGGTCTTCACTTTTCTGCTCAATCTACTTTGGAGTTAATGGCTTACTTTGATGCTGACTGGGTTGGAGACTCTCTTGATAGTCGCTCTACCACCAGCTACTACTTCTTTTTAGGCAACTCATTTATCTCATGGCGTAGCAAGAAACAGACTGTTATCGCTCGATCTAGTACGAAGCTAAATATCGTGCTCTTGCTGATACGACAGTAGAATTATTATGGTTGCAATGGCTATTAGAGGACATGGGCATCCATCATAACGGTGGAACGGTACTCTAATGCGACAATCGGAGTGCTATCTAATAAGCACAAAACGATGTTTTCCATGAGTGCACCAAGCATATTGAGATATAATGCCATTTTATACATTCTTATGTGCTTCAAGGCACCATTCGTCTTATCTCCACTTCATCAGTTAATCAAATTGCTGATGTATTCACTAAGACACATCCACCATGGCGTTTTCAAGATCTTTTCTCCAAACTCCAGTTGCTTTCTTCTATGTCACCTTGAGATTGAGGGGATGTTAGAAATATATTGTCTGATTCTGAGTATTTCTCATATCATAATCTCGTTATTCTAATTGTGAGTATTTCTCACAAGCACAATCTTGTTATTCAAATTGATTGTAATTTTTATTGTAATATTATGTTACTATAGATAGCCATTCTATAAAGCCCATAAATAAGCTTATGTATAGTTCAATGAAATAAACAAAAAATTCTATAACTTTATTTTTCGCTTTACAATTATCATGGTATCAGAGCAGGAGGTTCCGATTTGAAATCTTTCCAGGCCACATTTGCCTCTCCAATTAAATATGTCAACGCTTAGTACTAGGCAAAAAGATCAGACTAAGCGTGAGGGGAGTGTTAGAATATTTAAATAATAAATTACGGCTTTATCTAATAGCTTAAGCTGTTAAAATAGTTGACAGTGGTCCTATAAAAATCTCACATCAAGAAAAATTGAGTCGTCGCTCTCCGGACAAAAGTCATATATCTGTTTATGCTTGATTTTTTATTTCGTCGGGTTAGGTAGATAATGTAAGATCAACAACCACGTCCATATCATAAAGCTAACCTACATATGCTGCGAGAAGGGCTGCATGGCATAATTACACGTAGCTGCATGAAGTGCTTAGGGCTAAACTTGAGTAGGTTCATGGCATCCTTAGATGCTGTTTGGATTGATTTATTTTTTGCTTTCATTTATAAACAATAATATCATTGAGTTATTTTTAAATTCATTTGGATATAATATAAAGTTTAGCTACACCAAATAGTTAGAACTCGTTGAAGTGGCATTTGATAGTGTTCGAAAAAACTTAACACTCTTTCTTAACTCGGAGCAGCGCCATCGCCCTTTACTAGACGCCGATATAGCTCTTACCTCACGATACAAGAGGAATCATTGCGGAGGGCAACTGTGATTGAATTAGTGATATTATTGCTCACAAGAATTGCAAACACGCTCACGGCTCTCATTGAAACGGTGACTGAGGCTGACACAGTTGGTTGGAGTGATGAGAGATTTACGATTCGAAAACTGGAGGTCACCCGTTCGAATCCAATCATTTGCATGAAAATGCTCTAATTTACGACCACTTGCGCGACCAAGGTTTGGACTTAATTAGTTCGCATATAAAATGGCAAAGAAGGAAAATGTAGGTTCTTAATTAGAAAAACCTTTTGGCACAAATTTTCCCTCCCTTGATGTACAATAAAAGATATCCAAAGCAAAAAGTTCTTGCTTTGCTTTGGTTTTTTTTATTAACCTAGTTTTATGGAGTCATTTAAACAATATGTTCATGTGAAAAACTAAGTAGAAATTACCCAATCAATCATAAACATATTGTACGGATATCAATTCAATCATAAACTTTCTAATTTTGCCAATTCAGTCCTCAACATTTGCGAAAAATTTCCAATGTAACCCTTCCGGCCAATTCTCGCCGGAAATCACTAACGTGGTGGTGTGTCATGTGGGAAGGCCGACAACGACTGGACCGCCATGTCATCGATTTTCAGTGAAAATTTGCTGGAATACTACATTGGAATTATGCGCAAAGGTTCAGGAATTGAAAAATCTTGAACATTTAGGACTCCGTACAATAAGTTTATGACTAATTGGATAATTTCTCCCGAAAAACTGTTTTTACGCTTCAAATGAATAACAAAAAACTGTTCAAATTGTATCTTATTCATTTCCGCCCTTTCTTATGGGGGGCAGGGAAGCTGGCTTTTTTTTGTTTAAGACAATAACGAAATAACCTAACCTAATTAAAGCGTAAGGAACAAACCGTGCCGTCCTTGGATGGTCCAAAATGCTGTTATCAAGCACAAATGCATGCAATCTTTAGTGCCAAATCTTGGTTGCACGTCATTAAATCCTTTTTTTTCCCTTCTATTTTTGCGTTGCCACTATCTTTCTATGGGCCCAAAGATTCACCAACTTTGACATTCACCAAACGCTATCTTTCCACTTTAGGGGTTGGACGTCCCCGTCTCGAACTAACATTAATGTCCGACAAGAGGAAGAAGATTCACGAGCAGAGCTATCGAATTCGACCGCGCATGCCCCAATCCGGCGATCCCCACTTGTGCAGGTCGATTCGAGTGAAAAAAGCAGCAAAGTGGAATTAAGTGTGTACTGTCGTAATTGAATTCTTGCTACTTATAGCTAGATTACACAGAAGTGTCGGGTCACGTCTATGCAAATCCTTTGAGAGTAGAGTGTAAGACAAGTCCCTCATCAATTGATCGCCCCGAAGGCTATGTCCAATGTAGATTTGCTACTTAGGGTGCGTTTGGCAACACTTTGCCAAAGCCCTTCGGGGCTCTAAAGTCTTTTGGACAAATGCAAATGACATTCGGCAAAATTTTTGAATAACTGCATTTTCCAAAGGCCTCTAAAGACCTTTAGCCCAAGGTAGGTCCGGAGATGCTTTGAGTTTTGAAAAGTTTAGGATTGAATTAACCATCGTATAATAGGTTTGGACTTTTTGGATAATTTTTTGCGAAATACGAGATATATGTGTATTTAATAAAAACAATTTTTCTTCTTACTCGTTTATACCCTTATTTTTTTTCAATTTCTAAACACACAAAAGGATATGCATGTTATAGTGTATTCTTTTTTTTTCCTTTTCCGTTGCTAACATCCAAGCAACATTATAGCTCAATCCTTTCAAATCTTCTCTTTTTACTTCCCCGTGATTGCTTAAATCCTTTCTTTTCCTTTCTCGTTACCCCTGTCAAATATAATATAAGGGTTGCATAAAAACGTAACACCTAAAACCCTCGATAGATATAGATGCCTTAACTTAGACACTACTCAAGCAATTAATGAAGCTTTCCATGTGAAATTTTCAGAATCAATTACGTAACTCCTACTATTTCTTTATTATCTAGTTATAATGAGTTACAATATAAGTGAATTTTCTAAACGAGATTTAATGTGTGGTTTAGGAAAGTAATTGTAGTCAATATACTATACTATTGAGTGTGATTTTCTTGTTGACATTGTTTTAAGTTCCGTTTTAATTGTAGTCAGTATATATACCAATTGCATTCTAAAGTCTGTATCAACTTTGTTCCAAGTATTCCTTGCACAGTTATATTCAATACATCTAAAATATCTAGCTTTACTTGATAAATTTTATAGAGTACTATAATATTGTATTTTCAAATATTGTTGAAATTGTCTTATTTTTATATTCTTTTTGCCCAATGCACAAGTTGCCATTTAGGCTCATAACATTAATTTAAAAAAGTCACATTAAGAGAAAAATCGAAAAAGCTATTGTGCAATTGTTTCACAAAAAATGATGAAATATCCTTTAAATGTAAATGGATCGATATGAATCCACAAAGGTTGTGAAGGGTTTTTTGTTAATTTGAACAGAAAGTAAATGAAAAGAGAATTAAAGGTACGAAAGTAGGAGATAATTATGTCCTGTCATGTAAATTGCAAGGATGTTTAGATAAAGATTTGCAAAAGAACATTGAGTTATGTGATTGATTAGGGGTCGTTTACAATTAATACACTTGGGGTATTTATAACCCTCTACCGACTATTACATAGAACGGTTACTGAATTTGAATAAAGAAATAACAAAAAAAAAATCACACAATCTCCTATTATTTAGCAATACTTATCCACAATAAGTTATAAAAAAATCCTAAATTAGTGGCAATAATAAACATAACCATCCAGCGAAAATGTTTTTTGTCAATTGCTTACTATCGATAACTATCAATCACCTTCTCAAATTTTGATGAAGGCTTTCGTTGATAACTTTATTACTTCCTTAGCAAGTTGTCGATTCCCTTCAAATTGTCAATTGTTCCGTTCATTATTGACCACACTCTACTCCATCGACTAAGTCTAAATATTTGTCGATAACAACCAAAAGTTGATCGAACAAATCGAGCCTCAACATTTCAACATTTTTTTTTCTCACAAGTAGGTTGGTAAAAGCATTAAACATGCGAATCCAGAACATTTAATAACGTGAATGAAAGAATGTAAAGACGTATTAAGGACACCAGTCGAAAAACAGATGCGTGAATGAAATCCGAGACCTACTTCTCAAGTTTATTGCTTTTGACACCAAAAATTGAGCAAAATTCATAGACGCAAAGCAAACTGCTTACTATCAAAAGCTAAATGAACTTCTACGGTTGCTTAACACTAGTTTATATGCATCTATATAGACGCGAGCGCATAAACCCGACGCCAGTTCAGCCACTTACAGCAACAAAACACACCCCAGGAAGAGAAATGCTCATTTGATGTACTGAGAGAGCCACCTGAAGCCCTCGCCGTAGCCCATCTTGCGCACGATGCTGCACATGAAGACCTCGAGAGGGCGGATGTTGGTGCCGGTGAGGTCGACATTGCCCTTCCCGGTGGTGAAGTTGGTGAGGCCAATGTAGTACCGCAGTTCGTCCTCTGACGCGGCGCAAGGGATGTCGATCTTGTTTCCCAGGACGAGGAACGGGACCTTCGCCAGTGACTCGTCTGTGAGGAGAGCGTCCAGCTCTTCCTTCGACTCGGCGAATCTATCCTTGTCACAAGCGTCGACTGGGTACACCACTGCATCGACCTGTATATAAGTTCCAAAGCATCCGTCATCTTCCACAAAGTGGTTGTTTCACATGCTCCCATACATGTGCAGCCACAATATGAACAATAATCATATGACGTGATCGTTTGAAGTTCAAAAATGCCAAATGTGAACGATTGCTGGCCAGTCGATAAAGGCCACATCCCCTAGATGCTAAACTTGGGTTCCCCTATCGCGGAACCACATCGTCGCAGCATATCCCAGAAAATGGAAATTTTTGCAGCAAGGAAAAACCAGTACCGAATACACTGGCCTACACTTCTAGTTGATTAGATCAGATAGTAACATCTGACTTATAAACACTGCAAGTCAACCACACTGACTATATACAGTATCTTGAAAATGGAGTAGCAATGGATACAATGTTATCCGAAGAGAACTAGAAGAGGGAGAAAACCAAAATCAACAGTGTGCAAGAAAACCATCTTACGGACCACCAGATAACATGAAAACATGTCACTCGCCAACCCAGACTACTGAAAATCAGTCCCTGCAATACATGTTTATTTTTGGCCTATATAAAGCCCCTATTAGAAGCAATGTAGAATATGAAAGACAGAAGTACAAATGGACTACAGCTAAGTTGTGGCGATCGCATAAGCATTCCATCACCTCAATCCAACAAGTCAAACCTGATCTCAAAGTAAACTAAAGGTTCAATTACAGGGTGTTCTACTGAAAACAGAATGCGCTAAATAAAAACAGTGAACCGAAAGTTATGAATCGGGCTTCAACATTACTCTAAATGCGCCCGACTAATTCTATGTCGACTCAAAATTCAAGAGTTCGCATGATTCATATCCAATGTCCAATGTGCTTTACCTTATAACTGTTGTAAATTTGAATGGCTTCGAATCAAAGAGCAATCAAGTCGGACTTTGAGGCGTGATATCACTTTCCTTAAGGATTTATTTGCCCCACAATTGTTGCTAATGGTCACCGGCAAAAATCCTCCAGGATACAACAAAGTCTCAAAAATAAGAATACTAGATAGCAATTCTAGTATTTCTCCAGGGTCTCTCTAGGAAACAAAAGAAATGATGACTGTAGTTTTTCGAAAGAAGACTTGAAGAAATTGATCTTTTTTTCTTTCTTGCCAAAAACTGACATATATAGAAATCGGTCTTAAAGAACATTGGCAACTCTTCACGAAAGGTTGCAAAGCTAACAAAGATATTCCTTCGGAAGAAGTTGCAAAATGAATAGATGCAACCTTTCGGAAAAGATTGAAAACTGAATAAGTATAATCTCCAAAAGTTGTCTTGGAAAGACACATGTAAAATTCGGAATAAAATAAATAAATAAATATATATATAATTCCGAATTTTCATAATTTCGAAAATTACTTAATAAACAAAAAACAACCTTTCAAATAATAAAAATTAATAAGATAACCTTACGAAATAAAATAAAAATATAAAGGAATTAGTGCTAATTAAACCGCGGCCGCGCAAGTAGGTATTATGTGGACTAGCACACACCTCATTGTCTTCACTCTAAAGAGCAAGAAGATATTCACAGTTATAAAGTAACCCACTTTCTCAAAACTTTCCTATGTGGGACAAAGGAAAATGCACTATTTTGTTTGTTTTACAAAACAAACAACCAACAATAACTGTACAAGAAACACACTCACAGACAAGAATGAAGCGTTCGAAGTGTTAAGTTTAACATGATTAATCAAAAGCATCAGGCTACTCTCAGTAGGATGATCCATCCCGCATGCATCAATATGCAGAAAAGTCAAAAACTATGACAGAATCCATGAATGAATCATCCAAACGGCACGCAATTAAACGTATATCCCAAATCAGGAGCTTTCATAGGACAGAAAAAGAGCAAAACTTCACCTTAGCGTAGTAGTCCCGCCAGACTCTACGAGCGATCTTGTGACCACCCAAGTCGAAAGCTTTGAACTTTATCCTCCCTATACTCAGTTCCTCTGAAGTCGGGAACTGGGTGGGTTGGTGCTGAGCCAAACTCTGCCAATCACAGAGCCAGACCAGAAATGTTATGCTCTTACATATACCAACTGTAGACTAAGAAATACACGATAAACTCATGCCACACAAGCGCAAGAATCATGCAATCAACTCACCAAAGAGAGGCCTCGAAAGACAAAAGGCGACGAAAAATAGAAACAGATAAAAATAGAGATCACGATAAGACAAAAGCAACTTCAGAACTGTGAATTTCCGCCAAAGGGTGTCGCCCTGAAGCCAGATGAAAGTACCTCGTCCTTCAACATGTGAAGCAGGGTGGTCTTCCCTGAGTTATCCAGCCCCAAGAACAAGACCTTCGCTTCCTTCTGATACAAACCCAGAGACGCCAGAGCTCCATAGAACCAGTCCACCAGAAACATGGCTCCTCACTTTTCCCTTCTTTGGACGAAACCCAAGTGAAAAATCTCCCGAAATCTCAACCGACAAGAAGAAAGAATTGAGGAATGTGAGAGCTTGAAGAGAAAGGTGAGAGCGTGAAGCTTGGAGCAACTTCAGCAGGAACCCTTTTGGAATTTATACTCTCTGGCTGGATACTATCCGTGCCAACAGAGTTTACCGGCTACGCCGGTGAGACGGGTACGCATCGCATCCACGGTTGATTGCACACGTGGCGCGTTGGGAGGGGGCGGATGACCGGCTATCCGCGGTGGATGTCGAGCCTTGTCTACGTGGACGGTGCTGATTGGGTGGGTTGCGTCCCCCCGGGGGAAGATGACAGCGTGGCAGACGCGGGGAACAACGCGCGACAGTTGTCCGAGGTTACGTGGGATGCTTACGTGGAGGAACTGGAGGGCCGCGGGCGTTTGACGGGTTGTACGGTCGGGATGCGTTTGACGCTTCTGTGATCGGCGAATCGGATGGATCAAGATGAGGGGATGAGGTGTGCCTCCTTGATTGGCACGAAAAACGACAAGGTCATGAAGAAGCTTTTTCATTTTTTTTTTTTACTTCCGGGCACTTTATACTTGAAAAAAATAGAAGAAGAGATTTTCAATTTAATATACCGATTATCAACACATATATAAATGAGTATTTTGAAAATCGGGAAGAACTGCGCAAATCTCCTCCTGACTTTAGGGTAGTAATGCATGTGAGACAGCTGTACGGTGAGAATGCGTTTGACGTTTTGTGATTGGTGAATCGGATGGATCAAGATGAGCACACATCTAAACTCGCAAAAAAAAGGCCAAAAAAGAAACAAGAGATTTTCAATTCAATATGCTGATTAGTAACAAATATATAGATTAGTGTTTTGAAAACCAGGGAGAATTAAGCAAATCTCCTCCTGACTTTAGGGCAATACACATGTGCGACGACTGTACATTATCTTATTGATTTTCATTTTATTATACCAGTTAACTCTCGGGTACATTCTCGGTCTACTAATGCAATGCGCATGGCTTGCAAGGGATGATGTGTATTTTCGTGTCTTTCTTTCTTTTTTTCAAAATAAATCTCTCCTTTGCCATCGACTTTAGGGAAAAAAAAAGGGTTAATACCATGAAAAACTCCAAACCGGTATACTTGTGACAAATTTACACCAAGCTTTTTTTTTTCGACCACAAGAAAACCCTCAAACTAGTATACATGTGACAAATTTACCTTCCATTAGTTTCCGTTCAATTTTACAGTTAAATTGTTGAGTTGAATGACACGTGGCAGTTGACGAGTGTACCGATTTGGGGTTTTACCTGCGTTTGTCACGGGTGTATCCGTTTGTGATTTTTCATGGTATTAATCCAATTTCATGGAATTTAGTGGATAGTAAATTTGTCACAAATGTACCAGTTTGGGGATTTTCATGGTCAAAAAATCAGTTTTTGGGTAAATTTATTACAAATGTACCGGTTTGGATTTTTTTGTGGTTAAAAAATCAGTTTGAAGTAAATTTGTCATGGATGTACCGGTTTAGAATTTTTCATGATATTAACCCAAAAAATAAAGAAGAGGGAGTATAATAAATTGACTAATATATCGGAAGAAGTGACTATCAATGATAGCATAATAAGCAAAGATTGTTAGGAATTCGCGGAAGTATTTGTATAGCTAATGAGATTTTTTAGAGAGAGAAAGCATAATTGAGTAGAAAAGGAAAAAGGCTTCGCTAACAAAAAGTAAAAGTCGGGCAACCAAAAAATATATATATAGATTTTGAATATATTGAACGATTAACCAATGCGAGAAGATGATTGGCAATAATTGATATTTAAAAAATCGTTATTGATTCGGTTCCTCATTTTCTTGTTGAGTTGATGCTGTCGTTTCCTTTCAATTTTTATTTTTATTTTTTGGAAAAAATATTATCATTTATTTCTTGCATCGATTAACCCTTTACATATACATAACGATTAACTATTAATTTTTTTATTTGACCTTTCCGGTATTGAGACTTTTTCATTTTTATTTAATTGGTGTTTTATTTTATTTTTTTCTTCCATTTTTTTTACGTCAAAAGAAGCGTAAAAACGATATTTCCTTCGAGAAAACGAGATGAAAATGTATTTCTACCCTTTGAAAGTCACGCACACCGCACCGTGTCGACAGTTAAGAAAAAGAGGTTAACGGCTACAACAAAATGAAAGTGGAGGGGGGTATTGTGTCATGAGCAAGAGTTCGAGCGCACAGGTTTGCCATAGCGAAGCTCATAGGGTTTTGTGTAAAATCTCCTAAACATTAAAATTCTTTTCATTTAATAGAGTTTTAGTCAAAGAGGTCCTTTGACAAATGAAGTGGTTTAGATGGCCGGAAAAAAAAAATCAAGAAAAGGAAAGAAAAGCCCATGCATGACCCAAGAACAGGTCGGGTAACTAATGAGATGTTTCGGAGAGAAAACGCATGATTAGGTAGAAAAGGAAAAAGGCTTCGGCTATGGCAAAAAAGAAGTACAACATCCATACGACACGTTTACTAACCCCCCACAGATCGGCTCTCTACTTGATGTACTGCGACATCCACTTGAACCCTTCGCCGTAGCCCATCTTGCGCACGATGCTGCACATGAACACTTCGAGGGGTCTAACAGTCTGATCTGCGAGATTCACTTTCCATTGGCCGGTCGTGAGGTTGGTGAGCCCGAGATGATACCGCAGCTCGTCCTCAGAAGCCGCATACGGGATATCTATCTTGTTCCCGAGCACGAGGAAAGGCGCCTTGGCAAGAGCTTCCTCTGAAAGGAGGGCATCGAGCTCCCTCTTTGATTCCGCAAACCTCTCCTTGTCGTGGGCGTCCACCAGGGATACTACTGCATCAACCTAGAGAAGAAAGTCGGGAAGATCAATCGCTTGATGCTAATCTCATTTGAAAACGTGGGCAACAAGAGCTGTCCCGAGTTAAATTTGTAAACTAGAAGACGAAAGGAGTGGAAAGTCATTGAGTCGCACAAGCCTGGGAAGGCGAACTCCGTGGCCGACGCTCTTAGTCGAAAGGCGGAGTTGGCGTCAACCCTAACTCGTCCCGAGAATCCATGGAACGAACGGATCAAGGAAGGGCTCAAACATGATCCAACCGCCAAGGCACTCCTCGACCATGCTCAGGAAGGCAAGACCCGGCAATTTTGGTGTGAAGGCGACTTGCTTTACACTAAGGGACAACGGTTGTACGTTCCCCTCCATGGGAAGCTAAGGAAGGAAATCCTACGAGAGTGGCACGATTCCAAATGGGCGGGTCATCCGGGGATCCACCGCACTATGGCGCTTGTGGAGGATCGATACTTTTGGCCTCACTTGCGCAACGACATTGAGGCATATGTACGGACATGTCTTGTATGCCAACAAGACAAGCTTGAACAACGGTCGTCGGCGGGGCTTTTGGAGCCACTTCCCATCCCGGAGCGTCCATGGGAGAGTGTCTCCATGGACTTCATTGTCAACTTGCCAAAGTCCGAAGGGTGTCGGACTCTTATGGTCGTGGTGGATCAATTTTCCAAGTACGCGACGTTCGTGCCCGCATCGAAAGATTGTCCGGCCGAGGAGGCGGCCAAGTTATTCTTGAAGCACGTCATCAAATATTGGGGAGTGCCACAAACGATCGTGAGCGATCGCGACCCTCGATTCACGGATAGGTTCTGGACTAAACTCTTTAAATTATTAGGGTCGGATCTCAACTTCTTCACGAGCGTGCATCCCCAAACTGACGGACAAACAGAGCGAGTCAATGCACTCTTTGTACCTCCGACACAATGTAAGTACGACACAAGTGAATTGGGCGAAGTTGATCGATGTAGCCCAATTCCCCTACAATCTTCAAAAGAGCGAGTCCACGAACCAAAGTCCGTTCGAGATCGCAATGGGACAACAACCACTCACTCCAAGTACGGTTGCAACGGGCTATAAGGGGAGTAGCCCATCCGCTTTCAAGTTCGCCAAGGAGTGGCATGAGCAGGCAGACTTGGCGCAAACGTGTCTACACAAGGCCTCGAAGCGCATGAAGAAGTGGGCCGACAAGAAGCGACGGCACGTGGAATTCCAAGTCGGGGACTTGGTGTTGGCCAAGCTACACCTTGTGCTCCGATACAAGGATGTGCATAAAGGGCTTATACGTCACTATGAGAGGCCATTCCGAGTGTTGCATCGAGTCAGGAAGGTCGCATACAAACTGGAACTCCCACCAAAGCTTAAGGTACATTCGGTATTCCATGTGAGTATGCTTAAACCTTTCCGTGTAGACGAAGAGGACCCGGATTGAGGGGAGTCGCAACGGGCACCGCTTGGAGCAAAGACCTCCTATGATCAAGACGTCGACTTCATCATGGCGGATCGAGTCATACGGAAGAGATATCGTGCGCCGAAGCGAGAATACTTGATCCGATGGAAGGGTCTTCCGGAGAGTGAAGCAAGTTGGCAGCCCGAGGAAGCTCTTTGGCAATTCAAGAAACATATCGATGCTTTCCATGCCGAAGACGCAACGAGGGCGTCGCCCAAATAGGTAGGGGAGAATGTCACGGCCCGAAGAATTGGATCGTTCCTGAGGTTTTCTGGACGATGGACCGTGACCGACCCTTGGACGAGAAGGCAGGCCCCGAGTATTCTAATACTAGGGTTTTCTTGATGTCTTCTAGAATACTCCTGGGGGCGGGCGATACGGTAATTGTACCCTTCCGTAATAAATGCTGTAGGTGGGGTAGTTGGGGGAGTACGATCTCGACCGTTGAGATCGGGGAGAGATCTACGGATACGGTCAGCCCGATACTTGTATATAATGGGGTCTCTTCCCCTCATTTGATCATCTCTCATTTCCAAGAAGCAATACAAAGTTCAGAGCTTCTCTCTTTAGAGTTTCTCTCTCTAAAGTTCTTGCAAGTGTGAGTGTGGAAAGGCTTACTTGGGGAGAAATTCCTAAGGCCGCACGGATGTGGGAACGCTAGATCGATCGACCCGTGACACATGATTAATGTAGTCGACAGATAAATCCTTTTTCACGTGCACATAGTTACATTTAAGTTTAGTTTCATGATGGTAACATGCTTGACCCT